AGTCTATGGTTCCTCCGCAGTCCGCACCACAACACAAATCAACACAACGCAGAGCGGGGAAAATCAGACCCGCTACACACACACAAAGACAGATAAACTCCAAGTCTAAATCTGTTCATGGAAAGAGCTAATCAGTTGGCACTATTGCACTCTCTAATAATTGGCGTAATCCTGGAGGCTACAATGGCCTAAACACCCAGTGAAAACAACACCTCGGCTAAAAGTACCAGAGAATTAGACACAAATACACAGCATTCTGCAAACAGCCGTCTATTATTTATAGGCTATTTAACACTCTCCACAGTTACCACACTTAGCACGGTTAGCGAAGCACAGAAGAAGAGTTTGTTTTAAGTTTGCTGGAGCTGAATGTGTAGACAAGTGGTGTTAGGATTTAGTAATGAGCTTAGAATGGCCTTTTCTTTCACCGTCTTTGCGAAGGTTTTTGAAGTCTGAAAATAGGTGTTCTGACTTTACGATGAATTAATCCTTCAGTGAACAGTGTTTAACGCTTCATTGTTCCTCCTGTTGCAACAAAACTTTTCATTACATCGCAAACATGAAGCAGTCCTTCCTCATTGACTGAAAGCAAATGTTCATTCTCATTCTTAGTCCAGTCTTATCGACTCTCTTTATCTTTGGGATCCATGCGCACACACAGTTAAAATTTAATATTACTTATACAAGTTTTTGCAGCATTGAAAAACGTTAAGAATATTTTCCTCCTACAGAAACCACATTGAAACTAGAAATAAAATATAGCCCTCACACTCCATTTTCAGACATTTTTGAAAAGGCTCCAGGAGCCACTTTAGGGGCACTAAAGGTTGCCGACCCCTGGTTTATACAGTATGTGCAAGCAAATACTGTAGGATCAGGATCTCTCCAGTTTCAACAATAAAATACAGTACAATAGTCTACATTAAACAGAGTAATAAACATGTCTCAGAGTGAGGGAGGTGGACACAGACAACACTATTGTTTGTTACAGGGATGAGAATTGGTAAAAAATTCTGAAATGCATATTGTCAGCCATTTGCTGGCTCTAAATCTGTTTAATCTGTTCACAACATTTTACTTTTGGGCTCAAAGATGAACTTTTAATGCAATGGAAAATGTAGGTACCCGAGCTTTAATTTAGAGGAGAGGGGAGACGCGGACTGTTTTCTGCAGCGGTGTGTTTATTGGGTGCACAAATTACGAAAAGACATGCATGGTCCTGTGCGCGTTTATGGTCTTGGGTACATGGTCACGTTGCGGCTACGCGCTCGCCGTGTTGTGTTGTGAGCGGATCCCGGTGAGCGGTTCCCGCGTCCAGCTCAGAGCCGCTGGATGCGGGAACACTGCGGCCGCTGAGGTGGTGGAATCCCGTTCGAGTACATACAGCAGGTGCCCCGCGGACACTCGCGCTCCCCTCAAACATTTCTCAACGGATTTACACTTTTCACAAACATGTTTTTTGTATGTGGCAGACAGACCGGCCCAAATATGGGCATCGGCCCTTCGGGCATTGCCCGGTACGCCCGATGGCCAGTCCAGCCCTGCCCATATCTGTCGCGGCATCTGAGCGCTCTTTCTCAGCCTTGCACAGATTGAAGACCTGGCTACACAACACAATGAAGCAGGAAAGACTGACGCATTTGACCATTACGAATGCACATAGTGACCTGAAAGAAGAACGTGATTTTCTTCTCTGCTTGAACACTTCATCAATAGGTCACTGAGAGAAGATCCACTTTTTGGAAAAAAATGACAAGTTCTTTTATGATTGCAAACTGTTCCACTTCTGTCAGTGTCAGAGTTGCGCGATTTACTTTCAATTGTTCCATAGTTACAGCTTTTAAAAATGTCTTTTTTCTTGTTTATAGAGTCATCCTTTTCTTGATCGCGTAATTGTTATTTGGAGCTGTGTGTGCGTCTGATAGTGTGCACGTGCCATACAGAAAAATCGTGATTGTTATGCCAGTTTGGGAATAAACTATTTCCAGTCTGATGAAGTGCCTTGCTTGATTCATATTGTTTCAGATACTATGTTATAATCTAGTCTAATCCAAGTATGCGTCTCTCCCGTGATTTTCCCAGCAAAAAACCCGTCCCCCCTCTCAGATTATAGTTCAGACGTCCGTGATGCTTTGTTAGCTTTTTTAAGATAAGATATTCCTTTATTTGTCCCATTGTGGGGAAGTTTCAGTGTCATCGTCGTGCACATTACAGCAGAGAAGATAGCACTCTCTGGATAGCACTCTCGCCTCTCAGCAAGAAGGTCCTGGGTTCGAATCCCGGTCGGACCAGGGCCTTTCTGAGTGGAGTTTGCATGTTCTCCCCGTGTCTGCGTAGGTTTCCTCCGGGTACTCCGGTTTCCCCTACCACTAAAAATATGTCCAATAGTTCTAGCATGCGCCTCCTGTACTGGCGACCCCGCTCCCATCTCTGTGTGGAGTGAGAGACAAATGCCCAAAATTAACAATTGTAAACCGCTTTGAGACTCAGATCTGCAGTGAAAAGGCGGTATATAAATAAAAACTTACTTACTTACAGTAGATTTAAAAACAGATAATACACAATACAATAATACAATACAATACAATTACAATACAATTTATTCTTGTATAGCCCTAGGTCACAACAGAAGTCATCTCAGAGGACTTAACAAAACCATTGAAATCACCAACACAGATCAGAGAATCAACAGTTAAAACACATGAAAAATATAAAGCACACACAGAAAATGTCCATACATGTTGTAGAATGCTAAAGTGTCCTGATCATCACCAATCCTTTCTGTTGGACACTAACAACAAGACCCTCCTGCATCGACAAGGAAAAACTCTTAAAAAGCCCAGTGGGAAAAAGTGAAAAACCTTGGGGAGAACTAGGGAAATGCACAGGGAGGGAGACCCATTTGAGAAAGGGATCCGCTCCTCCGGACGGACAGGCTAATGATCCAGGACCTAAGCTAGCTACAGAACGTGGACCAGTGGCCGCTGAACGTGGACAGGTCCGGTGCAGGACTGAAGCACTCCCAGGCGGGTCGGGCGGGGCAGTCCGCAGGTGTAGATAGAGGAGGCCAGGTCCAGAGATCCCGTCATCGTACCATGAAACAGACAATGGGACAACAGGTGAATAGCAATGAACAAACTACAGTCAAAATCCTAATAATGCTAAACAGGTAAAGTAGGAAGGAGGAGAGGATAGTGCTCAAGTTACCATACTTCTCCCAGAAAACTGACTCCCTATGCAGCTTGACTGACAGTCTGAGGACTGTTTTAAGCCTAGCCTTGTATAATAAACAATAATCAAATCAATTACACTGTGGAGTTATGGAGCTATAATTGCACTTGGTTCAGGAGTATTTACAGACGTGTATATTGCACTTCAGCAGCGGAGAAAATGAGCAGGACAAAGTGGCGAGTGAATGACAGAAATATGTAACGAGGAAAGGTGAATGCAGGACTCAAGATGCAAGAATGTCAAAATAAAAATAATGTAGTGATGAAAAAACCAAAGTGCAGATGAAAACAAGCTCAAAATCCAAAACCACAAGGAACATGGAACCAGGAACAGGACGGAACAGACAAAGACATGAACAATGGACCAGCAACAATGGGAGAGGAGCACAGGTACACATTGACCAGATGCATCGACGTCATCCAGTCACGTGATTGTGAAGGAGCTTTCGGCGGAAGTAGTAGAAACTAGCATTGCGGGGAGAGCAAAACGGACACAAACTGAGACTCCTCTCCTAAATCGAGACGTGACTTCTTCAAGCACATGTTCGATTACGTTTTCGGTGAAAGTGAGACATCTTGTCAGGGCTCACAAAGAGCGGTATTTGGAGAAGTTAAGGATTGCTGAGCTGGATGTTGACCCGTACCTTCTCCCCGCAGTCAATTTTATCAATTAAATGAAATGTCCAATTTTGTCCGAGTTCATCCCACATGATCTTTATCATTATCGTTAACAATGCATCTCCTCACACTGGAGCAGATTTATATGCACATTTTGTTGGTAGCATTAGCACATTAGCAATGCACTTTTCTGTCTACAGCCAAACATGACACATATTGACAGAGAGGAAAACAGTGAAAAATGCAACTGACGTCTAAGATAAGAGATCTTTTATTTGTGCCACAGAGTAGTAAGAGACACGTTTGACTGCAAGCGTTTGTTGTGTCATTGTCCTCCATCGTCGTCTTCTGTCTTCATGACGAGCAGGTATCAGAGAAAAAGACACATTTGGCTTAGGCAAGGGGTCAATAGACCGACAGAGACACAGGTGAAACACTTCAGGGCGGGGCAGACCATCAAGACAGGGGAAAACAGGACACAAAGTCAAACTAAAACCAAGGCACAGAGAACAGATTACAAAAATAAAACCAAGTGTAAAATAACTAAAAGCCTCATTCGCTTGTTTTGGACCATAAATCGTCTCGCTCTGGTCTGGACAAGTGTGACAAACCGTGATCTCAGGTAGAAAAAAAGCAAGAAAAAAATAACACTGTTTTAGAGTTACTTAGGACTTGCTGCTGTTTAGTGAGAGACCAGTGAGAGAGACTAGAGAGTGACCAGAGAAACAGAAAGGTAGAGGCCAGAGAGAGACCAAAGAGAGAGAGTAGCAAAGAGAGAGACCAAAGAGAGAGACTAGAGAGAGACTAGAGGGAGACCAGAGAGAGAGACTAGAGGGAGACCAGAGAGAAAGACCAGAGAGAGACTAGACAGAGGCCAAAGAGAGAGGTCAACGAGAGAGACCAAAGAGAGAGACCAAAGAGAGAGACCAGAGAGAGACTAGAGAGAGACCAAAGAGAGAAAGACCAGAGAGGTTCGGAGGTAAACAGGTTCAGAGTGTTCTCTCTCTGATGTCACATGTCTCCGGTCCTGTGTGATTTGCCTCCTGCTGCTGAGACTGCAGTAAAACTAATCAGCAGCACTTTGAAGAGCAGAACAATTAAAACACTTGGATTCTAACGTCATTAAACAGGTCTCCCATCGAGCCATCATCTCTATAGGACTCGAGAGCCTACCGAGACCGAGTCCTCCATCAAACACACCGTCAGGAGGTCACAGGGCTCACTGGGAACAAAGTAACAAGTCCCTTCATACGCCTTCAGTTATCAAAGTACATGGATCTACAGCCTCAGTCCTGGATCTACAGTCTCAGTCCTGGATCTACAGCCTCAGTCCTGGGTCTACAGCCTCAGTCCTAGATCTACAGCCTTGTTCCTGGATCTACAGCCTCAGTCCTGGATCTACAGCCTCAGTCCTGGATCTACAGCCTCAGTCCTGGATCTACAGCCTCGTTCCTGGATCTGCAGCCTCAGTCCTGGATCTACAGCCTCAGTCCTGGATCTACAGCCTCAGTCCTGGATCTACAGCCTCGTTCCTGGATCTACAGCCTCAGTCCTGGATCTACAGCCTCGTTCCTGGATCTACAGCCTCAGTCCTGGATCTACAGCCTCAGTCCTAGATCTACAGCCTCAGTCCTGGGTTTCTGAGGAGTCTATGAACCAATGAATTCTATCTCTTTGTTATTATTGCATTTCATGTGTTGGAGCTCCTGGGAGGGATGGAGAGGGTCCCATCATCATGCCATAAAACAGACAATGGGACAGTGGGTGAAGTTATAGTGAAGAGGAGAGGAGAGTGCTGTGGTCTGTCTCTGATGCTCAATGACACATGATTCATGAAGACAGCAATAACAGGTTTAAAAAACATGTTCAAGTCTCGAGCTGCAGCTGCAATGCTGTAACAAGGACAGCCTTTCAATGGAAACTAACAGGAACAAGTCAGATCTGTCACAAACACAAAAAAAGAAGACGTCAGATAATTCTGTTTATCTTTCCTACATTCTAACACCAGATACTGATGAACATGAGGCCAACGAGGATGTGTCTCTTTGTAAATATGCAGCTTGGAACCAAAGCTGTATGGAGCTTTTATTGTTTCCAATAATTTTTGTGTGAGCGTAAACAGCTTGTGTGTACTGTAAAAGATTTGTGCGTGCGTTAACCAGGATTTGTATGTGGCGTTAAAGAATTTTTCTAACAGGAGGATGTATTTCAGACGTCCATGTTTTCCTTTGTTCGAGAGGCCACTCAGCCCCTCCCCTCCCTCTTTCTGTCTTCTCTCTCTCTATCTCAAAGACAGAACTATTACCAAATATTTTTTGTAGAAAATTACATTTATACACATGATAATGTTACTGTCATTAAGTCTCTTTCAGTTGCCAGACATTTTCAGAGGACCATCACTCCTCCAGTGCTACAAGCCGTACATTTTGCTGATTTTCACGACTTTAGCAGTTCAATGAAGAACCAGAAAATATGTTCAGTGCCAGACTTAAATCTGATTTTCACCGACATATTCTGAAAGCTTAAATTGAGACTCTGAAAGTTTACCCTAGGAAAAAATAAGTGTGTTTCTATCTGGCTTTAGTTCTTCTGTAATCACCCACTAGGAGTAAGGTAAACTTTTTCACAGAAATCATCAGTTTTCAGACATAAAGCTGAGAAAATGGGGTGTTTGTGAAAATAAGCAAACAATGCAGAAAAGTGACTTTGAAAAGTTTTTTTTACTTTAGTTATTTCTCACACAGCAGAACATTCTTCCCATATATAAAATAAGGGAAAAGACTCAAAATAAAGTGCTTTTGATAGCAAAATAATACTCAGAACACAAGATCAAGAATAAAGAAATGTACAAACATAAATTACAAACAAATAACTATATACATAAAGTGCTGATTGGCTGAAAGTGTGCGTGTGTGCGTGTGTGTGTTTGTGCGTGGTGTGTCTCTGTCTACATAGTGTAATCTTTGTTGTGTGTGATATTTAGTGAAGCACTCTCCTTTGTGTAAGGGGACACCACATGCCTTGCACCACATCCTGGTCTCACTGCGCAGGCCTTTGCGCATGCAGACCCTGCATCTCCTCGAGGGTCTGGTCTTCGAGCCGGAGGACAGCAGGTACTCCACCTTGTGCCTGGCGCCCTCATTGAGCCTGCTCTCTGGATCAGTGTTATATGGAGCCCTGGGGTTTCGTGGTGCTCCTTCCTCCACACATGCAACGATCCACTTGTTGTTCTCCTCGTTGTGGTCCTCCTCGTCCTCGATGTCCTCCTTGTCCTCGATGTCCTCCTCGTCCTCATCCTGGACCTTCAATGTCCAGGACCTCATGACCCCCTGCATAAATTCTCAAGAGGGTTTTGTATTCCCGGTTCCCCGTTCCTGGCTCTGTAGAGAGTGTAGGCATTGTACATTGCGATTTGGAACAGGTAAGCTACAAACTTTTTGGTCCAGTTCAGAGACTTCCGGACGAACGGGTAGTATTTTATATTTTGATCCAATCGATCCACGCCATTCATGGAGGAGTTATAGGCATCGACACACTCCGGTTTTAGGACAGACACCTTCTCCCTCTGTCCTCTCCCTTTGTCCCGCCACGCCACAACCATGACCTTCCCATTGTTCACCGCGACTCTCCCCCCCACACTCAGCTCAGTCTTGGTCACGTCCCTAATGCTCTCAGGCTCTCCCCGGTTTCTTCCTCAGCGTCCCACACACATTTGTTTTTTATTGCCATCAACTGCTCAGACAATGCCACAGAATTGTAATAGTTGTCCATTAACAGAGTGTGGCCGGCACCTGGGAGACGGTCAAGGAGAGAAAAAAACAATGTCAGGGATCGTGCGGGGCTCACCAACATAGGGCTGCAGGTTAAAGCAGTAGCCGGTGGCAGAGTCGCAGAGCACATAGGACTTTATGCCATACTTTATGGGCTTCTGTGGGTTGTAGACCTTGAAGGCCAGCCGTCCTCTCCAGAGCAACATCCCATCATCTTTGCAGATATTCTGCCCGGGTTGGAACATTACCTTGAATTTATTGATCAGGTAGTCGTAGATGGGGCGAACCTTGTATAACCTGTCAGTTACATCAATTGCAGAGTTGTCATTGTAATGGAGGAAGTTCCATATGAGTTGGAACCGGTTCCTGGACATTATTTTAGTGAAGAACGGGGTCACAAACATCTCATCCACGTTCCAATACATTGCCAGGGTTGGCTTGTGGATAACACCAGTGAGGAAAGACAACGCAAAGAACTTTTTTAGCTCTGGCATGGTCACTGGTCTCCATGCATGCTTTTTGCTGTGTTGCGGAATCTCTGGGTTTGCCAGGAAATGCTGCTGAGCATAGAGGTTGGTCTGCTCTGTGATGTGCTGGAGCAGCTCGTCCGTGAGGAACAGCTCCAGGAAGTCAGCAGGCGAGGTGGACTCCAGCTCTGCTGCAGCGTTCAGGGGACCAGGCGTTGCAGTGAAGGGGAACACAGTCGGTTTCCATCCGGATTTCCGCCAGGTGCTACCTTTACCCTTTGCAACTGTAATAAATTATGGAAATGTATACAATAAATAGGGATCAAATACAGCTCGTTTTATGGATTTGATGTGATGTAGAGAAAGATATTCCTACCTCTTTTCTTCACACCTGTATTTGCAGGACTCACGCTGGCAGCGCCTCTGCTCAATGTAGCGCCTGTATAGAATTGTACAATAACTCATCTATCCATATACACACATATCCAAATACATATAAATCTACAGACGCACATATCCAAAAACACACAGACACACACGCAGAGACACATGCACACACACACTACACATACATACATATTATACACATACATATACACACACATGCATATATACATACATATATGAGTATTTTATTTACCTGTAGGCCTCCTTTTACCAGCATTAGTACTCCTGGATTGGACCAGCACTCTGCTTAATAGAAATACACACAAATACAATTATGAGAATTATACAAGAATACTTTTAGTCGTTGCTATATACATACGGGCGACAGTAGCTCAGTTGGTAGAGCATTGGCCTTAAGGCCAGAAGGTCGTGGGTTCAATTCCCACCTCTGCACCTTCTCCACCGACTCCCACTGATGACTGCTGTCGTTGTGTCCTTGGGCAAGACACTTAACCCCACTTTGCCCAAAGCCCCCACTGAAAGATCAAGGCTATGCTCACAGTCAGAGAGCAGCCGTCCTCCTGTGGACTCACCACCTGCAGAGGGTCAGTGAGGGGCTGGTGCTATGAGACTTGGGTGGCATCTCTGATTGCCACCCCCCTGACCCAGAAATGGATTAAAGGGTAGAAAATGGATGGATGGATGGATATATACATATGTATAATGTGGGCATTACCTGCTCTGCCGGTTGCTCTGGGGGAATCGGGGGATTAGTCAGTGCTGTTTGGGTCAGCTTCAGGTTCCCATAGCTCTGAAGAGCCTGTATCCGACGAGGAACTTTCTCTGGACCGACGTGGACCACTGGAACTGCGTGCGGCGGCTCTGGAGCGACGTGCGCGGCAAGGACTCCCGCCAGCGGCCAGATGTTTAGACTTAGCTTTAGCCTTATCAGTAGCTTTAGCCGCAGCCTCAGGCTTTTTGCCAACTGAAGGCCGAGGCAGATCACCTCCACCTTCATCATGGCCATCACCCACCGACCTTCTGATGGTACCACCAGCACCAAACGCCTCCTCCATCGTTAGCTGCCGCTTTCTGTTCATGTTCGCTCTCCCGATTGCTCTTGTGTGCTCACTCTAACCAACCTACTCCCACAATGAGATCTGGGCCTCCGGTTCCTTTTATGACTGATCGAAGAGCTAAAGGACGCTACTGACATCTGCTGGCCGAATAAAATACTGTCAAACAGTCGCGATCAGAGATATATGATAGAATGGATGCGTCTGGATCTGAATACACCAAAACACGTCAATTGCATAAAATGCGTCAATGGCACACAACCACAGATCTTGATTGATTGAATTGGCACTGAAAGAGTTAAAAGTGTTGGCAACAAATTTGGTTATCGATTCGTTGTGTCGCGCAATTAATACGTCACTGAGCGCGCGAGTTGGGCACATTCTTGTACTATGGTTGAGCGGACAGACGCACATGCACCACAGAACTACACAACACTGCATGCACAATGCCGTTCAACTCCACAGAAGAAGAGCAGAGTGTGTCGAAGGTGGTCATTTTTAATACAGTCTATGGTGGCGGCATTCATTTGAGCAAGACCGCGTTGAGCCAGTGCAGAATAGTGAAGCGAAGGAAGCGTGCGAGTGTTGTACCGCACTAACTTTAGACACTTAGAGACACTTTAGAGTCAGTGGGAACAGTGTTTCTCAGGGTCAGGGCTGTCATTGGGAGGTTCGGAGACAGGTTAGATTTGCGGAGAACAAGCCTGGAAGTCACGTCGGGGTGCCGCGCCGCGACTCCAGCCTCTGCTAATTCTCCGGTAAAATCTCCGCAAATAGTGCCTCCCACAGATGTATTATAGTGCCTCCCGCCTTCACCGGGACAGTAACGTGTTGGAGAAGCCTTTGTCTGGTGTTAGACGAGAGAGAGGGCAGGTAAGAGGAGAGAGATAGCGGGGGAGAGGAGAGAGAGAGCGGGGGAGAGGAGAGAGAGAGCGGGGGAGACGAGAGAGAGAGCGGGGGGAGACGAGAGAGAGAACGGGGACGAGAGAGAGCAGGGAAGACAAGAGAGAGAGCGGGGGAGACAAGAGAAACATGTAGCAAATAGACACATTTTATGAAAATTCTAAAATCCACAATTTCCAACGCTATATGACGTCATAATATGCTAATTAGATGGGTACACTTATTCCCTACATAAACTTTTGGACATCCTTAATAATTCTGTAATTTAGAGAAAGTCCTCTCCTATCACTTTTAAGTTATAGCCTTTTGAAATAAAAATGTCAAAAGTTTTTGAGTATATCCACTCTACAACGTACAATTACCCTAAAAATGACTTAATTACACAAACGCGTCTTGTCTGTAATTGCTCTTTGGGTTAAACAACAAAACCTGTTTTTGTGCACTTTACTTTATACTGCATAGCATACATTTGTATGTTTCTTTGTGTTGATCCAAGGCCACGTTTTTTAAAAACGGGATGGAAACTAGAAATGCTTTTTTTATCCGATTAATCGATTAATCAAAGAAATAATCGACAGATTAATCGATTATTAAAATAATCGTTAGTTGCAGCTCTAATTTTTAGGAGGCCACAGGAACAATTATTATAAAATAATGTGTGACTGTTCTCTTTTGGTTACAAGTAACACAGCACTTCAACACAAACTTACTATTACTGAAATAAGAAATACAAGTAAAATTGAATCCCACATTGTTGGTTTTTATTATGACCACATTTGGATTTATTCAGCGCAGTCTTATGTTGAGCTTTCTCCATCCCTCAGTAACTTGTTCTGGGCTCATCTGGAAACATCCATTCAATTTCTTCCACTTTATCCTGGGTTGGGTCACAGAGGCAGCAGTCTGAGTGGCCCAGACTCCCCTCTTCACACTTCACACGAACCTCCTGCAGCTGGATGAGGCGTTTCCAGGCCAGCTCCAGACTCAGCTCCCTCTTCACCACAACAGTCTGATAGAGCTCTGACTGTAGACGCTGCTCCCTCTTCACCACAACAGTCTGATAGAGCTCTGACTGTAGACGCTGCTCCCTCTTCACCACAACAGTCAGATAGAGCTCTGACTGTAGACGCTGCTCCCTCTTCACCACAACAGTCTGATAGAGCTCTGACTGCAGACGCTGCTCCCTCTTCACCACAACAGTCTGATAGAGCTCTGACTGTAGACGCTGCTCCCTCTTCACCACAACAGTCAGATAGAGCTCTGACTGTAGACGCTGCTCCCTCGTCATTGCAACAGTCTGATAGAGCAGTGGTTCCCAAAGTGGGGGTCCCGACCCCCCGGGGGGTCGCGGGAACCCCTGGGGGGGTCGCAAGATGATTTCCAAACAAACAAAAAAAAAAATTTTTTTTTTTTTTGAGCAAATATAAAGCCCTTAAATATTTATTTAGCATTTGATTTGATTCAAAAGGACTACTTGTTAAAACAGTGTTTGGAGACTATAATATATTTTAATAACGTTAGTAATTTTGTCCCAGTCATTGCAGCGTCAATCAAAATCATCACGTAACAAAGCTCACATCATGCGCAGCGACAAAGCGTGTCCTGCTGTTGTTTGCTAAAACTAAAGGTGTTTGGAGGCTACAAATAAATAATACTTGATTTAAAATGAAACGTGGTTAATATCCACAACAGAAAAACCCGGAGGGGGAGAAAAGTCACTTGTATCAGGGGTCAGGCTGATGGTGCAAAGAGAGGGAGAGAGGGCAAAGGAGGGAGAGAGGGCAGAGGAGGGAGAGAGGGCAGCGGAGGGAGGGAGGACAGCGGTAGAACAGCGCGTTAAAGAGGCCCGGCTTTTCGGAGTCAAAGGTAAAGAGGTCCGCACATTAAAAGCGGGTGGCCGGTTTATGCCTTTACTGACAGTAACTTTGGAAAGAGAAGCCGCGGGGATGAACCGCATAAAGTAACAGCAGAAAGCGGCCGCCCGCTTTTAATGTGCGGACCTCCTCTTTACCGCTGACTCCGGAAAGCCGGCCCACTTTACCGCAGTAGGAGAACAGTGAGGGCGAGCCGCAAGAAATGCGCTCCACTTCTGCTGAGGAGGGAGCCCACCAAGCCCATCACTGTGTCACTACATGAGTAAAAATATGCAAGCCTCCTTTTTTGGGCTGGACAGTGCAGCTCGGTAGTGGCGTGAGTCTCTAGAAAGCGTTACTCCGTATCAAGGAAATACATGCTCATTTCATGTGACGGAAGGGCTGTTGGGGGGGGGGGCGGGGTCGCGGGTTAGCAGGGCATTTATGATGGGGGTCGCGGGCTAAAAACTTTGGGAACCCCTGTGATAGAGCTCTGACTGCAGACGCTGCTCCCTCTTCACCACAACAGTCTGACAGAGCTCTGACTGTAGACGCTGCTCCCTCTTCTTAACAACAGTCTGATAGAGCTCTTACTCTAGACGCTGCTCCCTCTTCACCACAACAGTCTGATAGAGCTCTGACTGTAGACGCTGCTCCCTCTTCACCACAACAGTCTGATAGAGCTCTGACTGTAGACGCTGCTCCCTCTTCACCACAACAGTCAGATAGAGCTCTGACTGTAGACGCTGCTCCCTCTTCACCACAACAGTCTGATAGAGCTCTGACTGCAGACGCTGCTCCCTCTTCACCACAACAGTCTGATAGAGCTCTGACTGTAGACGCTGCTCCCTCTTCACCACAACAGTCAGATAGAGCTCTGACTGTAGACGCTGCTCCCTCGTCATTGCAACAGTCTGATAGAGCTCTGACTGCAGACGCTGCTCCCTCTTCACCACAACAGTCTGACAGAGCTCTGACTGTAGACGCTGCTCCCTCTTCTTAACAACAGTCTGATAGAGCTCTTACTCTAGACGCTGCTCCCTCTTCACCACAACAGTCTGATAGAGCTCTGACTGTAGACGCTGCTCCCTCTTCTTAACAACAGTCAGATAGAGCTCTGACTGTAGACGCTGCTCCCTCTTCACCATAACAGTCTGATAGAGCTCTGACTGCAGACGCTGCTCCCTCTTCACCACAACAGTCTGACAGAGCTCTGACTGTAGATGCTGCTCCCTCTTCTTAACAACAGTCTGATAGAGCTCTGACTGTAGACGCTGCTCCCTCTTCACCACAACAGTCTGATTGTCGTCTTGTTGTAAATCCTCGGTCTTCTGGAGACCGCCGTCAGGTTTCCTTCCTGAACAAAACCAATGTGTTTTAAGAGCACAGTTCAGAAGAGCAGCAGGACACAAACTGAAGGCCTCTCACGTGGGATGAGTCTGGTCTCTTTGTGGCCGGACTTGTTCCTTTCTTCCCCTGAAGTGGACTGCAGCATCCACAGGTCACTCTCACAAGAATAGATCCTACATTTGGTCAGATACATGTTTGGTGTCACTTACATTCTAATGAACACTGAACACTCTTTATCTCCGATATTGACTTACGAACGTTTGGACGTGTGTTCTTTGGACTATATGTGGCTGGAGCTGGAAGTACAACAGTCATTGTAGTTGTAGAAAACCATGACTTTTCCAACACTGAGCTTGAGTTCCTGTAATGAAAACAAGTTCATTCTGCTCATGCAAGTAACAATATGTCTGCGTTCCACTGTGGATCCTAAATGGACCCTAAGAGTCCAGCTCACCAGACACGTGTCCATGTCATTGGTCCAGAGTCAGAATGGCCTCTCACTGTGTAGGCCCAGGATCAGGGTGGTCTCTAGTGGCTAGAGTCACTGCTCCATCAGCGACACATCCATCTGTGAACTGTGGGAGCAGACGGAGCCTTTCATTCATTAGTTCAATACTTATTTGAAGATGACTCACCGGGACATGATAGATGCAGCGGACTCCTGTCTCCAACTGGAACACAAAACTGGAAACGAGACATCTGAAGACATCTTTGATAATGACACAATAACTTTAATACAACCTCCTGTCTCATGTGGGGATGTGTGTGTCTTTTTCTGTGCTGTCAAAGCTCGAAGAGCCTTGTCTCTGTCCTCAGCCCAAATAAATGCACATGTCTTACCTTTG